ATACATACACACACACACACATTATATATATATATATATATATATATATAGATATATACATGTATGTACACGCTGAATTGATTTGAGATGCAAATCCTGCAAAGAGGTCGAGAGAAGTGAAACACATCGAAGAAAGAGAAACACATTAATTCATAAGCGAATACTAGACAGGATATACTGATATATGCATATGTACACATGTGGACTGACTTGGAAACATCATCATGTAAAGGAGCCGAGGAAACACAAAGACACAGAAAGAAGTAGAATATCACATACATCTCGTACAGCATAACCCCCAATGCCCACAAGTCCACCTTGACACTGTACTCGTGGCCCACTCTCCTAATTTCGGGTGCAGTGTATGCGGGTGTGCCGATTTGTGTCTTAAATTGATTATCATCCGTCCGTAGTTTGGCAAAGCCAAAGTCCGCTACTTTGACGTATAGTAGCTCGTAGTCCGGTTTCTTTAATCCCAGCAGTATATTTGCCGGCTGCAAATTACCGGGGGAGAGGAAAGGTGATGAGAACCTAACAACTACAGTGGTATTGTGCATATATTAGTTAGTTATGAATATGGGCGCGAAGACATGTACTATATTATGTATGTTATGTGTGTGTGTATATGAACACATCAGAGTTTTATGAAGTAGTTGATACTCACTGGCACGCTGTGTGGGCTACGTGTACATATACATACACCCATATGCCATGTGTACATGTCAAACTACTACTACGAGCACATTCAACAGGCGACACAACACGTACACTGAGCGCTACAACTACCAGCACGTACAATACACTACACCACAGGTCGACACCTCACACAGGCACTTAACCCTAGCCCACAACGCTAAACCCCTGGGGCATACAGTGCACGAGACACCCACGCAGACGGCTCACCTTGATATCTCTATGGGCAATATCGCGGTCATGCAAATAGCTGATGGCGTCTAATAAAGGTTTGTATATTTCTATACACAGACTCTCAGATAGTCCCCTGCCACTGCTCGAGAAGTGTGCCATGTAGCCGCTGAGGTCGTCTCCGTCGACAAACTCCATGACTATGTACATGGCCAGGTCATCGTCGAAGAAATCCTTGTACTCCAATACGCCCGGCTGTGTAGAGACAAGAATGGGAATATGAACACGGGTGGTAGAAGTCTGTTGGCATATATAGGGCTGGTGAAACTAGTTATACTGGCGGGGGTTCAATATAATATTAATTACACGCACAACGAAGCATACGTACGCATATCGAATAGAGCAGAGGCGTGTTGTTGAATGCGTGGATATAGCACACCGTGGTATAGCCCAAAGTGAACAAGAGATTGCGTATATTTTGTTGGGTGTACGACTGCTTTATAATCAAGACAAGTGGATGTCTGTGTAGTCGAGACAACAAGAGTTTATCGCTAGTGCTTCGTATTCAACATAACACTCGCTTGCCAGTAGACAATTGTACGCATTTGATAAAATGATAATACCAATTGGCAACCCAGCATAGATCAGGTACAGTAAATTGGTAACATAAACGTATATATATATATA